AACCTTCTGGACCTTCTAGACTTCCTGTGACCATTAGAACCTCTCCTGCTTGCCTTCGAGTTAGGCAGGGCAGCTGACACTGGGCCCACTTGGCCGATCAACAAACAGACCCAGGCCATCTGTGTGGGCCTGAGGAATGAGCACAGATTCCAGGATCAGGAAGGCCAGGCTGGAGAGCTGGCTCTGCAGAATCACAGGTATGTGAGCTCAGCCAGGCACTTTCACCTCTCTGAGCCTCAGTTCCCTCCTATCTAAGGGGCCTCGCTACTTCCCTAGGCTGTTGAAGCGGCCTAGAACTGTTTGCACAGAGCTTCCCTAGTGCGGGGTCTGGCGTGCGCGGGTGCTCGGTGCTCGAAGGAGACAGCTGCTGCTGTTAGCATTCTGATTGAGTGCTAATGAGCCCGGCACATTAGTGGTTGAGCTGGGCCTAGAACAAGGGGCTCTGGCTGTAGGCCCAGCACACTTGCGCCAAACCCCACCCTGGACTCCCAGCGGGACAGGCCACGGGTTCCCAGCCTCCACCTTCCTGCCCCAGCAGGAGCTGAGTGGGGGTGCTGGCGTCATCCTTCCCCCGATCATCTTAGGTGAGGGGCCAACTTGGCATCAGGCCGGGAGCCCACGCGGCACAGCCTGCACCCACAGCAGATGGGAAGTGGGGGTGTGGGAGTCGTGTTCTTCTGATTCAGACACTGGGACGAGGAGGGGCTCACACACGATCCGCAAGCCCACCTCCTCCGTGCCCTTCCTGGCCGCTGCAGAGCCAGGGGCTCTGACAAAAGAACAGCTTGAGCGCACGCCTCCCCAGCCTGCACGTTTTCGCCTTGAAACGTCGGCGTCTGTTTAAATAGCCTTGACGGCCTGTTCTTGCTGGCAGGTCTTCCTCCCTCTGTTATTCCTGGCAAGTCTTCCTCCCTCTCTCCTTTTGCTGGAGAGAGGCAATGCTGGCTCCAGGTGTATCGGCTTGGCTCAGCCCCATTGCCATAGACAATTCAAAAGGACTCCTGCCTCAGTTTCCCATATGTAAAATGGGGATACAAAGAGTGCCAGCCTCAGGGAGTGGCTGTGAGGATTCATGAGTAAACACATGTCAGTGCCAAGGTTGGGCCTGGTGCACAGCCTCACTCAGCACGTGCCCCTCTGGCCTCATGCTTGGCATAGAGAGGGGTAGGGAACCGAGGACAGAACAGTGCCAGGGACCAGGAAGGCCCTACCCTGGCCATTCCAGCCCTGAGATAAAATATACCCTGTGAGCTGATTGCCTCAGTCTAAGGCTTTTTGGAAGTCCATCAGTCTCAAACCCAGTGGGTGGCTGAACCTGTCACCCTGTGGGCCATCCAAGTCACTTGAAAGCTCTGGAGGTAATGAGCATCCGCATCAGCTAATGTAGTCAAGCCCCACAGTTGGCATTATGCTTTTTTTTTTTCTTTTTTTTTTTTTTTTTTTTTTTGAGATGGAGTTTTGCTCTTGTTACCCAGGCTGGAGTGCAATGGCGCGATCTTAGCTCACCGTAACCTCCACCTCCTGGGTTCAAGCAATTCTCCTACCTCAGCCTCCCGAGAAGCTGGGATTACAGGCACGCGCCACCATGCCCAGCTAATTTTTGTGTTTTTAGTAGAGACGGGGTTTCACCATGTTGACCAGGATGGTCTCGATCTCTTGACCTTGTGATCCACCAGCCTCAGCCTCCAAAAGTGCTGGGATTATAGGCGTGAGCCACCGCGCCCGGCCCGGCATTATGCTTTTATAGTCCATGAGGGCCTGTCACTTGTCCTCCCATCCTTCCATCTGTCCTGGGAATGGACAAGAGGAAGCCTGTTTTACCCCCCACACCCTTTTTTTTTTGAGACTGAGTTTCGCTTTTATTGCCCAGGCTAGAGTGCAATGGCATGATCTGGGCTTGCTACAACCTCTGCCTCCCGGTTCAAGCAATTCTCTTGTCTCAGCCTCCTGAGTAGCTGTTACTACAGGCACGTGCCACCATGCCCAGTTAATTTTGTATTTTTAGTAGAGAAGGGGTTTCTCCACATTGGTCAGGCTGGTCTCAAACTCCTGACCTCAGATGATTCGCCCACCTCTGCCTCCCAAAGTCCTGAGATTACAGGCGTGAGCCACCGGCCCACACTTTTTTTTTTTTTTTTTTTTTTTTTCGGTCTCACTCTGTTGCCCAGGCTGTAGTGCAATCATACGATTATGACTCACTGCAGCCTCAGCCCCCCAGGCTTAAGCAATCCTCCTGCCTCAGCCACCCAAGTAGCTGGGGCTCCAGGCATGCACCACAATCCCCGGCTAATTTTTGTATTTCTTGTAGATACGGGGTTTCACCATGTTGCCCAGGCTGGTCTCGAACTCCCAGGCTCAAGTGCCTGTCTTGGCCTCCCAAAGTGCTGGGATTACACACATGAGCCACCATGCCCAGCCTGTCCCCATTTTAGAGGAGGGGAAACAGACTTTGCAGTTAGTCTGCACCAGAGCCAGAGTTTGTAGGCACCTTGACAGAAGAAGCCCTCGGGATTGCAAAAATGAATGTAACTGGGGAGGCCACGTGCACTGTGAGGCTCCTACATCCATCCCATGCCTGCCTTCACCTGGCCTCCACCCCAGCCTGGTGGGCCAAGTCGGCATCCGCGTGGATGGGCAGCCATAACTTCTCACACAGGACGTGGAAGGGGATAATGGTGTCCAGAGTCCCCCTCTTCCACTGCTTCATGGGTCTTCCCAGAGCCAGCCTGGATGACCTCAGGGACTCACCCCATCTTACAGCCTGGAATGGAGAGAGGTTGATCCTCAGCCCCTCCCCACTGCCAGCAGAAGACAGGGGTTGCTGAGTGTGAGTGACACCAGAGCCCCTGCCCTGTGAAGCAACCTCACCTTTCCCGTGGGAGCCAGGGGACCCTTGGGACAGAGAGGGAATTGGGTTTCTGGAGAGGCTGCCTGGCAGGTGCCAGGAGAGGCTGCATGGCAAGTGATGCAGAGGGGGCGGGCGAGCCGGACTGCTGGGCTCAGATCCCACTCTGCTGCTGCTCCTGGCATGATCTTGGGTGACTCACCCCAGTTTTCCTGCCCCTGAAATGGGGACACTAGCATGTGAAGCAGATTCAGAGACAGAATGTTTGCAAGGTGTCTGCTGGGGCTCAGCCAGCAGTAAGAGCATCCCATTCAGTCTTCCCACCTACCCTATGCACCCAAAACCCTGCCCTTGGCTCCTACTGAGGGCCAGGCTCTGGGCACTTCCCCTACACACCATCATTTAATGCTGACCAGTCCTGGAGGCTGAGCATTCCAAGTGCCCATCTTATAGGAGAAAAATGATCCTGGAGGTGTTAGCCCACCTGCCCCCATTCTTATGATACAGTGGCAGAGTTAAGGTCCAGTCCCTCCAACTCCTGAATGCAAAGTCCCATTACTGTCCACACTGGCAGCTCCCAAGTCTCAGGCACTGGGCATGGCAGTGGTCCTTTGCCCCCCAGCACTCTGACACAGGGGACACACTTCTCCCCTTGTCTCATGGCTAGAAAACAGGCTCAGAGAGGTGAAGGAGGAGTGCGCAGCTCAGAAGGAACATGCAGCCCTCAGTCAAGCAGCCGCCAGCAGTGCCCAATGTCACCCAGCAAATGACTGACAGAGCCGTCGGCTGAGCAAGGGATTCTATGCTTGTCCCAAGCTGCAAGGCCATCCCCTTGCAGCTTAGGAAGCTCAGAAAAGGTGGGGTTTTTGGTTTTTTGTTTTGCCTCCAGCCTCGACTTTAGCACCTGGGGCAGTGCCCGGCACAATGGGAGTGCCCTCTGAATGTTTGCTCAGTGATGGAATCACAGAATACAATGAGTTCTTGTCTGGGGCCTAAGCTGGGAGCAAGGAACTGATTAAGCAAAAACTTCCCAGGCCTTTGGGGAGTTCACAAGGATCAGGCCTGGTAGTGGGGACCACGGAGGATGGGGAAGCCAGGAGATGGTGGAGGATGGTGAAGGTTTAATTTAGCTCCTAGCAGCTCATTGAATTATTAATCCTCTACTGACGTTTCTATGACGTCTGCCACAGACTGTCCCCTTCAAGAGTCTGGGCCTGTGGCCTCACCTGCCTCCTTCCACCCCAGAAGGGCCTTCTTCTAGCAGGAGATGGGGAAGGAAACCCTCCTGGCTCCTGTCCCAGTTCTGCTGCCCATGGGATCTTAAGATAGGTCTGGCATGTGGTGGGGAACTCTAAACACTTGGACCTCATCCTGGGCTAGATGAGGGGTGTCAGAGCCTACCCTGGAACACTCTGCCGTAGACAACAATTGCAATAAGCAGACTCTTGTTTATTGATATTTACTACTTAGTCTTCCTTACAACTCTCCAGATAGGTGCAGCTCTCTTTTGAGAGTTCAGAGAAGTCAAAGGATTTTCTGTGAGTCACATAGCAGATTGGTTCCCGAGCTGGTTTTGAACCGTGGCCTGTCTGACTCCAAAGTATGTGATTTTAGCCACCTGCCACCCTGTTATGATCAAGCCACTGGAGCCTTGCTCCAGAAGTCCCTGGTTCACACCACAGGTGGGCCCAGTAGCTACACAGAGCCTTTTGCAGAGGACCATTCTAGGAAGCTTGCTGAGTGAGGGAACAAAGACTAAGACAGTCCACCCCTTTACCAGCCCATCAGCATCTACCCTTACTGCTATGAAGGGCTAGGGTGGGGCACTCAGCTTCAGCTGTACCCTGGAACCATCTGGAGGACCTTCACAGCACTCATGGCCAGGCCCCACACCCCTGCCATGGGCTGAGCTGTCCTCGAGAGCAGGGGCCAGCTCTGCCTGCTGCTCACCGTCATGTACCAGCACTGGGAACAGAGCCTGCCAGGCACCCAGGATGCATCTGTTGCCTGCTGTTGGCATTGTCATCCCCATTTTGCATACTGGGGAAACTGAGGCTCTCCTGCAGTCACCGATCAGGGATGGCAGCCATCTGAGTGTTCCAAGCCTTTCCTTTCTCCCCCTCAATTGACTTCTCTTTTTCTGCCCCATGAACAGCAGGAGCTCCCGGCCCGTGTGAACCTCTCAGCTGCCCCAGCCCCAGTCTCTGCTGTGCCCGCCGGCCTGCACTCCAAGATGGACCAGCTGGAGGGGCAGCTGCTGGCCCAGGTGCTGGCACTGGAAAAGGAGCGCGCTGCCCTCAGCCACAGCGGGCGCCGGCAGCGGCAGGAAATGGAGAAGGAATTGGATGTCCTGCAGGGTCGTGTGGCTGAACTGGAGCACGGTGGGTCCTGGGTCCTGGATCTTGCAGAAGGCATTGGAGGGGTCCTCAGAATGACAGATCCACTCAAAAAATATATCCATGCTCCCCCAGAGGCTAACACGGACAGACGGGAGGGTGGGAGGAGGCTGTGGAGCACAAGATGAAGAGAATCATTCAGGGATATTATTATAATTATCAGCATTATTAACAGGTCTCCTTTCCTGGCACTTACTGTGTCCTGGGAATGTGCTAAGTACTTGACACATCCGCTGATTTAATCTTCACAGTTTTCACAGATGAGAAAACTGAAGCTCAGAGAAGTCAAGTGTCATGCTCAAGGTCACACAGACAATAAGTGGTGGGTCTAGATCTCAAACAAGGTCTGACTCCACAGTCATACATTTAACCACCCACGAAATACCATTTTCAATGACTCAGTCAGGATTTTATTTAACACCTGTGCTTGGCACTGCCATGGGGTCAGAGAAACATAATGGGCAGGGTACAGGTATGAGCATTAGGAGACCTGGCTTCTGGTTGCATATCTGTCTCTGGCTTGCTCTGTGACCTCAGAAGGTCACATCCTTCCCCAGGCCTCAGTTTTCCTCAGATCTCATGATTTCTCAGGAACCTTTCAGCTTTGAAGTCTTGTGAGGACCACCCTTAAGAGGCTTACAGACAAGTTGGGGAAAACGGGGGAAATGATGAGCAGTTAGCTGGGACCCACTTAGATGTGGAGCAGGGGTTCAGGAGAAGAAAAGACAGGGCTGGGTGCAGTGGCTAATGCTGGTAATCCCAGCACTTTGGGAAGCCGAGGTGGGCGGGATCACCTGAGGTCAGGAGTTTAAGACCAGCCTGGCCAACATGGCAAAATGCTTTCTCTACTAAAAATACAAAAATTAGCTGGATATGGTGGTGCATGCCTGTAATCCCAGCTACTCAGGAGGCTGAGGCAGGAGAATTGCTTCAGACTGGGAAGTGGAGGTCGCAGTGAGTCAAGATTGCACCACTGCACTCCAGCTTAGACAACAGAGGAAAACGCTGTCTCAAAAAAAGAAAAGAAATTCAAATCCAAGCTGCTTCTTGGAGGAGGCAGCCTCAAGCTACTTCTTAAAAACAGAGGTGGGGAGCAAATTTCAGAATGGAGGGGCCATAGCAGGGGCACAGCTGCAGGGGAGGGACAGGTCTGGTGGCTCAGGGGCCAGCATCCCGGCTGGAGCACAGAGACAGGAGAAGCACTCTCCAGCCCTCCTCAGCCCTGCCTCTGGCCTGTCTACCCTGGGTTTCCCAGGGGGCCAGGGGAAACAAATTTAATTTGTTGAAGGTCACGTGGCTGGGAAGTGGGGGAGGCAAGATGTGGTCTCAGGACATCTGAGGTCTAAAGAGCAGAGAGGCCCCGAAGGCACTGGGCATGCAGCAGTTACCCTACGAGCTTGTTAGCCTTTATTCTGAAGTGTGCCCTGTGCACCCACCCTTTTCGGCATCTACTGACCTCCACCACGTCTGCCTCGCCCACCCTCAGGATCCTCAGCCTACAGTCCCCCAGACGCCTTCAAGATCAGCATCCCCATCCGCAACAACTACATGTACGCCCGCGTGCGGAAGGCACTGCCCGAGCTCTACGCATTCACCGCCTGCATGTGGCTGCGGTCCAGGTCCAGCGGCACTGGCCAGGGCACCCCCTTCTCCTACTCAGTGCCTGGGCAGGCCAACGAGATTGTGCTGTTGGAGGCAGGCCATGAGCCTATGGAGCTGCTGATCAATGACAAGGTGGGTGTGGCCAGCGGGGAGGGCTGCTGGGGGGATCGAGGAGAGCCCTCTCCACACTGGGCTCTCATTCTGTTGCTCATTCTCCTGCTTCGCATATTCAGCACACATTAAATGCCCACTGTGTGCTGAGCTGGGCTCTGGGAATATAAAGACAAGCCAGACATGGGGCTGCCTGAGAGGCTGTGTGTTTACAGAGGCTCTAAGTGTTGTTCTATTTTACAGAGGAGGCAAGTGAGGCTCTTGGAGATCCAGTGACTTCCCAGTGACTCAGGGCTGGGGCAGGGCTGAGGTATCTGCCTCCAGGGCCCTGCTCATCCTCCTGAATTTAAAGAGAAGGGAGGTACACAGATCTACCTGGGAATCGAGGGAGGAAGGGAGTGCCAATGGCCTCCTCATTCCTTCTACTCACCTGGAGCCAACCCCTTGGGGCCTCCCCGCTATGGAGAGTAGAAAGGTGTTATGCTCAGACTCTGGGGCCCTAATGCTGGTTTGAGTCTTTCTTCTGCATCTTCACCACTGTCTACTAGTCGACTACCTGCCCTGTGCCTCAGTTTCCTTATCTCTAAAGCAGGAATGATAAGAGCCCTTGCCTCTTAGGGTTGTAGTGAGAAGTGGCCTAACTGCACGTGGAGGTCTTTGAGCAGAGCCTAGCATTGAGCAGACATCAATAACTGTGAGCTATTTTTATTATACTGAGCACTACGCTAATAAGCAGTTTACTCACATTATTACCCTTGACCTTCCCAACTGCACTCATTATCCCCATTTTGCAGATGGAGAATCTGGGGCTCAGAGAGGGGAAATAATGCACCCTGGCTACACAGCTGCTGGGGTGTGATGTGATTCAGGGTCTTGGGCTCCAGAAACCACCTCTTAACCCCTCCCCTGTTCTTTCCTTGGCCCACCCATCTTCCTCATGCCCAGGCCTCCCTCCCCAATCCCCGTCCCTCAGACTGGCTGGAAGGCAGGACAAGGACAGGCCTTGGCTATGGAGAATGATGTGGCAGGAGCATGGTGATTGAGGGAGGAAGGAGGGGAGCATCTTATCACTGTCATCCACTCCTAAAATTCCTCCCTTGCCTGCCACATTGCTTTGGGCCTTGCAGACATGGTGGTCTACTGAGACCCCCCGTGGAAATGCAAATACCATGTATCATACCCACCTGTGACCAGCCCACAACACATAGAGCCGTTAGGAGTGGTTGACAACCTATCAGAACCCAGCTTAGCAGAAGGTGCATTTCATAGCGTTCTGGAGCAGGAGGAGGAGGAGGAGGAGAAAGAGGAGGAGGGAGGGAGGGAGGGAGGGCCCAGGGAGCAGTGACTTTCCCTTGTGGCCCAACAAACCCTGTCCACCACTGGGGCAGCTGGACTACATCTAGATCCTGCTGCCCTTCATCACCCCCTGGCTGCCATCCTTGGCCTTGCCCAAGTTCAGCACTCAGTTCTCATTAGAAGAAATTCAGCACCCTGGACAGGGCACTGCACAGCCTTGTTTCGGGACTCTCTGGAGTCCTGAGAGCCAACCTCACAGACTGCTCACTGTTCCCCTTTTATTCCAGCCTCTAAGCCTTTACTCCCGCTGTGCCCACCACTTGGTTTGCCTAGCAATGGATGGTGGCTCCATTGTCCTTCCAGACGGGTTTCGACATGGCTTCTATTCCCATATCCCCTCTTCCTCTGGGCCTCGCAGCCTCTGTACCTCCCATATGGCCTCCGTGATTTTGTCATATAGCATTGCCCCGAAGTCCCTCCCTTCCTGAAGACTCAGCTCATTTAAGGCAAGAACCAACTCCACACCCCTAGTGTCCACAACAAAGCCAGGGACCATGTAGGCCTCAGAGAATGTTACATTAAATTGTGATCTCAGCCCAGGCAAAGTGGCTCATTCCTGTAACTGGGAGGCCGAGGCGGGTGGATCACCTGAGGTCAGGTGTTCACCAAGTTGACAGGCTGGCCAACATGGTGAAGCCCTGTCTCTACTAAAATTACAAAAAAAAAAAAAAATTAGTCGGGCATGGTGGTACACGCCTGTAATCCCAGCTACTCGGTAGGCTGAGGCAGGAGAACTACTTGAACCTGGAGATGAAGTTTACAGTGAGCCAGGATCACACTACCACACTCCATCCTGGGCAACAGAGTGAGATTCTATCTCAAAAAAAAAAAAAATGTGATCTCAGAAATCTTACCAGATGAGGGAGCCCTTTGGGAGCACCAAATCCACTGACAGCAAGTACCTTTCATCTTACAGGCCAGCTGTAATCCATCAGCAGTGGCTTCCCAGAGCCCTGAGCTCAATCAAGGCTCATGATTGATTGGCTATGTCTGGCCTGGGTCAAGGAAGAGGCAGAAGCTATAGATTTGCCATCCCTTGTCTGACCTTTTCACTTTACAGATGAGGAAACTGAGGCCCAGCGAGGAAGGAGCAGCCTCCCCAGGTCACACAGGGGTTGCTAGCAGAGCCAGAACCAGATGCTGGAGCCTGGCCTCTGAGTCTGAGGTTCATTCTATCTCTACTAGTACTTCTTGAGCCCCAGCTGTGTGCTAGGTGCTGTGTGAGGTATTCAGGGGAGGCTGGGATTCTGAGACATCTCTCCACCCCAATGACCTTAATAGGCCTGCTGGAGAGTGAATGAACTACCTAGTGGCAACTGAAAACCAAAACCAGAGAGTCCCTTGTGATCTGGTTTGGTCTTTGAGGAAACAGGAGAGAGGAATCGAGGAAAGACACTGGGCAGAAGGATGGAGAGGGTCAGGCCTGGGGTCAGGCCGTGAAGGGATGGACGTGGGTCTCCCCAGCCCCACCCCACTGCCTCAGCCTTGGGCCTTGGGCCTTGGGGCACCTCTGACCTGGGGCTGGGGGACCTGTGTCCAGGTGGCGCAGCTGCCCCTGAGCCTGAAGGACAGTGGCTGGCACCACATCTGCATCGCCTGGACTACAAGGGATGGCCTATGGTCTGCCTACCAGGACGGGGAGCTACAGGGCTCTGGTGAGAACCTGGCTGCCTGGCACCCCATCAAGCCTCATGGGATCCTTATCTTGGGCCAGGAACAGGTAAGACTCAGGCTAATATTGGGGCTGGACCTCCCCATTGTGCAGATGGGCAGACTGAGGGCCAGAGAGATCAGAGACCTAAGGAACTAGAATCTTGGAGGTGGGGCTAGAGCCTTGGGGGCGGGGCTTCAGTGGGGACAAAAGTGGGGCTTCCTCAGGCACAAGAGCCTGACTGAGCCACCCTGTCTTTTCTCCTCCCTCACTCCACATCTTTTCTTTCTCTGCTGCTGTCTTGGCTCAGGATACCCTGGGCGGCCGGTTTGATGCCACCCAGGCCTTTGTGGGTGACATCACCCAGTTTAACCTGTGGGACCACGCTCTGACTCCAGCCCAGGTCCTGGGCATTGCCAACTGCACCGCACCACTGCTGGGCAACGTCCTTCCCTGGGAAGATAAGTTGGTGGAGGTCTTCGGGGGTGCAACGAAGGCCGCCTTTGATGTCTGCAAGGGGAAGGCCAAGGCATGAGGGCCACCTCATCCAGGGCCCCTCCCTTGCCTGCCACTTTGGGGACTTGAGGGGGGTCACATTCCCTCCTCAGCCTGCCCACACACTGGCCTTCCCTCCTGCCCCACTCCTGGCTGTGCCTCCCATTTCCCCTCACCTGTACCCACACCTCCAGAATGTCCCGCCCTGCGAGCGTGTCCCCTGTCCCCACCCGGGTGGAGAGGAGCGTCTCAAGGAAACAGTGGGAGCCTGCCCTCCTGGCATTGCATTGGAGTTTTCTCTTACCCCACCCCTCCCTGCCCATCAATTGCATCTGATGTCACTAATTCTGACAGCACCCCCCGTAGGGTAGGGTTGTGTATGGGGGGCTCCTCTATTTCAGTGGTGGGAGTGTCTGTCCACCCCCTTGTCCTCCATGCACCAGGCCCAGCAGCTTCCTCTTCAGGGCCACAACAGGCTGTAGAAGGAGATGAAGAGGACAGTGGAGGTCACACTCACCCTCCTCCCTCTTTCCACCAGCTGCCAGTCAAGGGCAGTGGGATCTCGATGGAACCTCCCCAACCCCGCCCGCACCTCCCTCTTCCTCCTCTTTCCTCCTTTGTGTGTAGTGGTTTGAATGTTGGTTCCATGCCTGGCCCAGCCCCACCTCAGTCTTAGGGACATTCCTTTCCCAGCTCCAGCCTGGAGGGAAGGGGACAAAGACCCCAGAATGACAAAGGGCTGTAGTCACTCCTTGTGCTCACCCATATCGATGGCCACTGGTATAGTCACCCCTTCCCTTCTGTGCCAAGGATGGGACCTGGGCCACTTCAGGCTGGGCTGGGAGTGGCCCTAAGGCAGAGGCCTCATTGCCCAGGAGACCCCGCCTCTGGCAGAGCCACATTACCTACCCCGTGCATGGTCCTGGGGCAGGAGGGAAGAAGCTGAGGGGGTGGGAAGAAGCACAAAGCAGAGGGCAGAGCACTGGGTGAGAGAGGGGAGCCCTTGGTTCCTAGCCAGCCCTCCTAATGTGCTGTGTGGCCTTCTGTACGTTCCTGACCTCTCTGGGCCTGGCCTTCCTCATTCCTGAGCTGAGGCTCTCGCTTTGGTCATTTGCTGTCCAGACTGGGTGTGAGCTTCTCTGTGATTCCAGGTGAACAGGTGGGGAACGCCCTGGTGATCCTGGGCTTAGCAGGGGTGGGTCCTGGGACTCAGCAGTAGATGGGATGAAGCCAGTCAGGGGTTAGGGTCAGCAGAGACTCAGAGTCAAGGGCAAGGTTCAAGGCCAACTAACCTCATGCGTGGATTGTAAAAAACCAGCTCCCTCTGGATCATCCCAGCCTGGCACCCCTTGCCTGTCTGAGAGTGTCTCAAAGAGCTAATGGCTTCCTTGACCCCTTGAGGCATTGCCAGCTTCCTCAAGAGAGTATCAGAATCTTAGAGCTGAGAGGCCAGGCGCAGTGGCTCATGCCTGTAATCCCAACACTTTGGGAGGCCAAGGTGGGTAGATCCCTTGAGGTCAGGAGTTCAAGACCAGCCTGACCAACATGGTGAAACCCCATCTCCACTAAAAAATACAAAAATTAGCCAGGTGTGGAGGCGGGCGCCTCTAGTCCCAGCCACTTGGGAAGCTGAGGCAGGAGAATCGCTCGAACCCGGAAGGTGGAGGTTGCAGTGAGCCAAGATCACACCATTGCACTCCAGCCTGGTCAACAGAGCAAGACTGCATCTCAAAAAAAAAAAAAAAGAATCTTAGAGCTGAGAAAAGCCACCCTGTCTAGCACCACATCTGCTTGTGAGAAATGGTTCAGGGAGGACACGTGACCTGCACAGGCTCACAGGGCACGATGGGGCAGAGCCAGGACTAGAGCCCAGGGCATCTGACTCCCTCTTCAGTGCTCTTCCCCTTCCATGCTACCTGGCCCTGAGGGTCTTTGAATTCAGTCTACACCTCAGCAGGTGGACACCTGAGAGGTCAGATGCTTTCCAACATGACATCCAGAACATCTTCCTTTACGCAACACCCAAAGATCTTGGCATCCCCACACTTCCTGGGGTGTTATGATCCCTGGGCACTTTGGCAGAATGGAGACCTGAGGTGTCCCTCCCGTGCTAGTTAACCTACCAGGTGTCTGAGCAGCTGCAGGCTACCTGGCTCAAGTGGGCACTGGTACCTCTTGCGTACTTTTTTGTTCCCTGTCTGTCTCCACTCCCTGAGGCCACTTAGCCTGAGACATGACGCAAGAGCTGCAGGCCGGGGGGCTCAGTGCCATGGAAGCTCCTCTAAGACACATTGCCTCCGGTGCCCAGATGCTTGCTTCCATTTCAAGAACATAAATAGATTGCCAGCCCCTCCGGTCCAATCCCACTGGAAGAAAAGGTGATGTCGGGCTTCCGCCAGACCCGCTGAGACCTAGGTTGCCACGGTAACAGCCAATGACATCAACCCAAGTGCTGGGTCAAGTGTCTCATCATAATGGCACTGTTGCTGGGGTGATGGCAGAATTCAGAACCTCGATTTCAGTGACGCCAGGCTTGATCTGTTTCTGTTATTGTCTCGAAGAAGGTAGCTCTTACTGAAGGACATGGGAGAAGGATAGGGTCTTAACTAGGAGGTGGCGGCACTTGCCAGGTCACTTGGGCCCACCCAGACGCACGACCCCATGTCCTTTATGCTTGTCTCAGTGAAGATGAGGGCTCTGATGCCTGAGCCTTGTTCCCATGCCACATCACCCACTCAGCCTCCCAAAGGGAACAGGAACACGTTTCACCAGCGTGCCACTCTTTGGGTCCCACTTTTCCTATCTCCTGCTGCTCCTGAGCACATCCAAGCAGACAGAGAAAGAGGAACCAGACATGGCACCTAGTCACATCCTGTGTGCTCCTGGCTGATAACCACAACTGAGCCTATGTTTGTCCTGCCATCTGGCACAGCACCGAGTGTGGCACGGGCACCGTACTGATGATCCTCACAACACGGTTCTGAGTCAGGACATTCTTGGCTCCATTAGACAGGTGAGGAAACGGCACAGAGAGGTGATATCATCTGCCTGGTGTCAATCAGCTAGCGAGTGATGGAGCCCAGATTTCAAACCACAGGGGGTTTGAAACCAAAGGTCCAGGGGCTGAGTAGCCCCTTACCTGTGTAGAGGGTCCATCTAGGCACCATTGCTCTGACGTGTTCCGACCCCGTTCTCCAGCCCACAGGGCTTGAAGTGGAGGAACAGAGGCAGGGGGTGGGTCAGCCCCAGGGTCCCCTCCGTGAAGCCGTGCCAGGGGGCTCATTTGCTTCAAGGAATGTGTCCCTCCCACATCTGGGCCAGAGCTTCAGCCTTTCTCTAGCTCAACTGGAGTTCACAGGAGAACCAAAAAAGAAAAGGAAGCTGAGCATCTCCCGAGGGTCCTGGGCAGGGAAATTGCTGCTCCTCCAACTCCTGCTTGGAGCTAAGCCCTGCACCAGGTGCTTCCCAGCTGTTATCTGCCAGATCTTCCCATCTTGTGGCACGAGGTGCCCCCACCAACATCCCAAGGGGACCAATTCCCTTGCCACAACTTTGCGTGACCTGGGACCACAGATTTGGTCAGGAAGGGCTCCAAGAGAAGGCCGAAGCCCTCGTTTTTACAGATGAGGACGCTGAAGCCTGGGGAGGGGAGGGACCCTCAAGACCACCCAGCTGGACACGGGAGACGAGCCCAGTCTTCTGTGTTCAGCCCTCTCTAGGACACAGTGGCCTCTCCCCAGCACTGAGTCGCCCTTTCTCTGTGCGTCCCAGCACCCTTGGCCTGAGAAAACTGGGAAAGGGGCTCCCTCCCAGAGATGGGATTACTCTCTTCGCCCCTTTATTCCAGCTGCCTGCCACCCAGACCCCACCTCCCACCCTGATCCTCTGACCCCTGGGTGGGGAAGGGGCTCACGTGGGGCCAGGCTGAGTGTGAGTGAGCATGTCAAGTTGTCTGACACTGTGACATTAATGCACCCTATTGACAACTCCTCCCCAGCCTCACCCCTTTCTCCTCTCCCTGTTTTGTACATAAATTGACATGAGCCGCAACGTGTGTGCGTGTGTGTGTGTGTGTGTGTGTGTATGTGTGTGTGTGATCTGTGTCATGGTTTTGTTACCTTTTTGTTTTTGTAAATTTGAATGTTCAAAATAAACATGCTGTTTACTCTGAGGCTCTTCTTTGCAGGGATGGGCCTGCCCTGTGGGGGAGGTGAATGGCAAGGAGGGGGATGCTTTGGACAGGGCAGCAGGGAAAGGCAGAGGAGGTACCTGATCCTGGAAGGACCAAAGCCACACGCACCCCTAAATAGGCCCCCAGCTGACAAGTTCTGCCTGTTCCAGGCTCAGGCACACCCCATTTCCCAGGATTTATGCAGGAAGGATGTAAAGAACACAAGTCCCACATGGAACGTGTCCCAGTTCTGATAATTGGGCTTCGGCCTCATTCCCAATACCCCGTCCACACCGTGTGCTCCAGTTCTGGGATCCAGGTCCCTGACTTGCTTCCTGGGACCCAGTCTGTCCCAGTCACTCGCCTGGACCCCCAGAGCGTTTCATCTCTTGGAGTCCTGGGGAGGGGGGCATGGGTGAGGTATCCTGGTTGTTGTATTTCAGCCGCTCCCTTCCCCACACTACTCCGACTCCTCTGATATGTTTGGCCTCTAGACTGGACTCTAAGACCAGCATCAGGCTCGGCTACCCCACTCCACCCCTGCAGCACCCACCCCATCCTTAAGAGGGTCGTGAACTAGTCCCCAGCCCATCCTGCACACAACATCTTAGAGGCACAAAGGCTTCATCCTCCTCCTCTATCAATACTGCCACTGTCTTGGTTGGATGTTGATCTCAGATGATCATGGTGAAAAGTCAGGGTGCTGGCCAGGGGTGAGGTGATTACACTGGCAGGACAGGGCTTTCCAGACTTTTCCAAAGCTTTCTAAACTTCCAACAAGAATAGATTCACCACATGAAGACCAGGGTAACCCTGGAAGTGGCACTTCAAAACAGGGAAACTGCACTTGAAGTCTGCTAAATTATCTGAAAAATTCATGCACTTTTTCATTCTACTCCAGAATGAATCCAGATTTGTTTTAAAATAAAAATATTTTAATTACCACTGAGCGCAATTAAGCTGCAGGCAGCTACGCCTTGTTTATCCTCTCTTGCACCAGTTTACTAGCAAACACTCTCCGCCTCCCTCTGTCCCACTCAGCTGGCCGGGTCCAACCCTGGTGAAAGTCTGCTGCCCACCTGCTTCGTGCCAGCACCTGCACAATTGAACACAGATGTGAAAAAGCATGGGTTTTGGTGTGCGTTGAGTCTCATTTTCTTTTTCTTTTCTTTCTTTCTTTTTTTTTTTTTTTTTTTGAGATGGAGTCACCGTGTCACCCAGGCTAGAATGCAGTGGCTCAATCTCGGCTCACTGCAGCTTCCACCTCCCAGGTTAAAATGATTCTCGTGCCTCAGCCCCCTGAATAGCTAGCTGGGACTACAGGCACACACCACCATCCCTGGCTAATTTTATTTTTGTTTGTTTGTTTGTTTTTTAGTAGAGACAGGGTTTCACCATGTTAGTCAGGCTGGTCTCAAACTCCTGACCGCAAACCTCAAATGATCCATCCGCCTTGGCCTCCTAAAGTACTGGGATTACAGGTGTGCCTCACTGTGCCCAGCCTGACTCTTATGTTCACTCTTGCCAGAAATCTCCAACCCTGCCCTGCAATCTCAGTACACATTCCTTGCTTGGCATCTTGCTCTCCAAAGTGACTGTATCATATCCCCTCTCCTCTACAGCCCTCCACTCCCAGCCCTGCACACTCAAAGATAGCCTTGCCTCCTAGTTCATTAAGAAAACCATTAGTTCAGTCTTCCCCCAGCACCCCACCACCAAGTCTGCCTGCAAACCCGCACTGTACCCGGATTTTCTGGCTTCCCCCAGTCACTCTGAATAAACTGTCGCTGCTCCTATCGGAGGCACTGTGTCATGGACCCCTTCCTCTTCATCTTCTCACCAACGTTTCCCCTGCATTACCAACCTATCCTTATCTACTTTCTCATTTCCGGCAGGCCTGGGATTCTGGGCGAGTATCTCTTCTTACACAGAATCCCTGCCTTGAACCCATACCTCCTGCAGCTGGCACTCATTCCTTTTCTCCTTTCACTGCAAAACTTCTTTAAAACTCAGGTATATCAAGGGTTCCCCAAGACTGCCTTCGGGTTTGATGATTCACTGGAAGGACTCACAGAACTCAGAAAAACTGTTAAAACTCGTGGTTATGGTTTATGACATTGAAATGATATAGATGCAAAGTAGCCAGGGAAAAAGGCACATAGGGTGGAATGCAGGACAGGCCAGGACCAGGATTCCAGTTGCTCTCTCCCAAAGTCCTGCGGACAGCGCGTCTCTCTCCAGCAATGATGTGTGACGCACGCATGAGAGGCTTGTCCATCAGGGAAGCTCACCCCAGCCTTATGTCCAGGGTCTGTACTGGGGGTCAGTTATGTAATGGAGCACTCGTGTGACTGACCTTAACTACTCTGTCTCAGGACCCCCTCCAGAGGTCAAACTGATACGGGGTGACCAAGGGCATTTGGCACAAAAGACTTTGTCAGCATTAAATTATCTGGCATGGTCCAAGGTAAACAAAGACAGTCTCATCAGGCAGATGTTCCAAGGGCGTAGAAGTTACCTGCTGGGGAGCTGGTCCAGGCCCAGTCCTTTCTTTGGAATGCACAGGTTTGATCAACCCAAGCCTGCTAAGTTAATCCTTTGCTAGACAGTGGGCCTATAGTTTTTTTGGGGTGTTTTGTTTTTGTTTTCGTTTTTGAGACAGAGTCTTGCTTTGTTACGCAGGCTGGAGAGCAGTGTCACGATCCTGGCTCGCTGCAACCTCTGCCTCCTGGGTTTAAGTGATTCTCCTGCCTCAGTCTCCCAAGTAGCTGGGATTACAGGCACATGCCACCACGCTCGGCTAATTTTTATAGCTTCCGTAGAGACAGGCTTTCACCATGTTGTCCAGGCTGGTCTCAAACTCCCGAGCTCAAAGTAATCCTCCTGCCTAGGCCTCCCAAAGCGCTGGGATTACAGGTGTGATCCACCGCAGCTGGCCAGGTCTACAGTTTTGATTCCACTTCATCTCACTTTCATTTACATCTCGTCCAGTTCTCATAAGGCTGCTGCTCCCCACCGACCCCGCTACCCCTTCCACTGAAGTCTCACCTGTCCAGGCCAGCAATAACATCCATGTTACAAAATCCAATAGCTAGGCCTCTGCCAACATTTTAGCCACACTCTCAGCTGCATCTAACACACTCCTTCCCTCTTGAAAAATTTATTCTTGGGCTAGGCGCCGTGGCTCACGCCTGTAATCCCAGCACTTTGGGAGGCTGAGGCAGGCAGATCATGAGGTCAGGAGTTCAAGACCATTCTGGCCAACATGGTGAAACCCCGTTTCTACTACAAATACAAAAATTAGCTGGGTGTGGTGGTGTGTGCTTGTAATCCCAGCTACTCCAGAGGCTAAGGCAGAGAATTGCTTGAACCAGGCGGGACCCAGTAGGCAGAAGTAGCAGTGAGCCAAGATTGTGCCACTACACTCCAGCCTAGGCTACAGAGTGAGACTCCGTTTCAAAAAAGAAAAGAAAAGAAAAATTTATTCTCTTGCCTTTGAAAACACAATCTCTCCTGGTTTGTCTTTCACCTCAGTGATTCTTAAACTGTAGCCTGCATAACAATGGCCTGAATCGAGTTAAAGCACTGATCGCCAATCACTGGGCCCCACCCTGGAAGTCCTGAAGCAGTGGATCTGGGGTGGGACCCAACCGTCTTCGTCTCTAACAAGTGCCAGCCAATGCTTTGGCTGCTTGTCCTGGGATCGCACTTTGAGAACCACTGCTCTATTTCATGGGTAGCTCCTCATCTCCCTGTCCCTAAATGCTGCAGTACCCCAGGGCGTAGTTCTGGGTCTCTATTCTTTCCACCTAGACACTCTCCCTAGGAAATCTCATTCAGGCCCATGGCTTTGACTCCCTCCTAGATTTTTCCCTGAACTCCACATTTGCATATCCGGATTACCCAACAGGAGTCTCAAAATGCATATATCCAAAACTAAGCACTTGATCTTCCTCCCCTTGTCCCCGCTTGCCCCCATCTCAATAAATATGCTCAAATAAGTAGACTCGATCTTGGTTGCTCATTGACTTCTTTCTTTCTCTCATCCATCTATTCCATCTGTCACCCACTGACTCAATCACTAACGCATATCTCAACCCATGCTCACTTCTCTCTACTCTGCTACCACTCTGTTCCAAGCCACCACTGTCTCTTGAAAATGCAGTTTCTGGTCAGGTGCAGTGGCTCACACCTGTAATCTCAACACTTTGGGAGGCCGAGGCCGGCAGATCACTGAGTTCGGAAGTTTGAGACCCATAAGACCAACATGGAGAAACCCCGTCTCTACTAAAAATACAAAAAAATTAGCCAGGCGTTGTGGTGGGTGCCTGTAATCCCAGCTACTCAGGAGGCTGAGGCAGGAGAATCGCTTGAACCCAGGAGGTGGAGAATCACTTAAACTTGGGAGGCAGAGGTTGCAGTGAGCTGAGATCGAGCCATTGCATTCCAGCCTGCTGGCGACAGAGTGAGACTCCCTCAAAAAAAGAAAAAAGAAAAGAAAATACAGTTTCCTCTCTTAAAATCCATTCTCTGGCTGGGTGCTGTAGTAGCTCACCCCTGTAATCCCAACAGTTTGGGAGGTCAGGTGGGAGGATTGCTTGAGCCTGGGAGTTCAAGACCCGCCTAGGCAACATAGTGAGACCCTGTCTTTACAAAATATCTTTTTTTAATTAGCTGGGCAGGGTGGCGTGCACCTGTAGTTCCAGCTACTCGGGAGGCTGAGGTGGGAGGATCACTTGAGCCTGGGAGATAAAGGCTTCAGTGAGCCATGACTGTGCCACTGCACTTTAGCCCAGGTGACAGAGTGGGACTCTGTCTCAAAACAAAACAAAACAAAAATTAGTTCTCCTTATGACACCTACAATGACCGTTGCAATCAAAATATTGTTACTCCTCTCTGTAAAACTCTCCGAAGCCTCCGGGGCGCAGTGGCTTGTGCTTGTAATCCCAGCACTTTGGAAGGCCAAGGCAGGTGGATCACCTGAGGTCAGGAGTTTGAG